TGTATTCACTATATATATATATATATATATATATATATATATATATATATATATATATATATATAGCTGGGTAGGGATAGCCTTATCAAAATGTGTATTCACTTTTCTGTGGAGTCTCAATAAACGATCGATTGTTGTAAAAGAAAAAGATTGTATAGGCCCGTTTACACTTTGTTTCGTTAGGCACTCAGAACGTAACAATTGCATGATATAATCACGTACATTTTAATATATTAGTTCTGTTAGTTTAGTTAAATTAGTTTAGTGACATATCTTGTCAGTTTTGACATTTTATACAATATATTGCACGTTCAAGATCATTGTTTCTAAAATTAGTTGAGATGAGGAACTGCGGTCGAAAGGACCTATACTGGAAAACGCAAAAAGGCTAACCTGTTTTAAGAGTATATTCTGTTTATTCTCCTAACCTGTATTCTGAACTGTTCGAATGTAGTCCTAGTGACCCCGGCGCCAAAGAAGTAAGTGACATTTTGGTATGTACAAAAGTACATTTATATTATTACTCTTTACTTTACACCCGTTTTCAAAATTACGCGACCAAGGACGAAAATGCTAGAGATGACATGTCAGTTTTATGTCATTCGGTCACGAAGTTTAAATTTGAGTTTTGCGGTTCTTTGTCGATGTATATGCTTTGTATGCTTTATATAAACAGGCTTACAATGATTTTCAAGATATTTTAGTGAGAATTATTGCAAAATTTAAGCACAACAAAATCATAACATCACCGTTATAGTCTAGCGCGTGTTTTATACTGACAGCTAAATTCCAGGATAAATGGATAAACTTTAAAAGTTATTCACGGCACATATTTCTGTTGTGATATGGTTTGTATTGTGCTTTAGTTTGTATATCTAAGTTATTTAACTCATTTTTGTTCAGTTTTGGTATTAAATACGGTTTAAAATGTCTTTTGACAGTTTGTTTACGTTTGCTATTTTTAGCAGTTTTTGTGACATAAAACTGACATTCGAAGTAAGAGTATTTTTGAGGGAGGTCGCGTAATTTTGAAAACGGGTGTAATATATTTGCTATAATCATTTTGTATATAACGTTAATAGATCGAATAGTAACAATTAGTGTCAAGTATCAATATCAGTATCAGTTTGTATAATAAATATTCAAAACTATACGATTACGCGGGTCCGACTACATTTGGGTTATTTGGCTAAAGCCAGTAAAGGAACGTACGACTCTGACGGACCACACTTGCAATTTTTGGTGCGATTTCTAGCGCGATTTTCTCCTGATGTATGTGAACGATAAAAAAAACGTGAGTTACGAATGTTCTGAGTATATGTACCCTCATCTGAACATTCATAACTTATCCACTCGTTCACATCCATCAGAAGTAGAAAATCGCAGTAAAAATTGCAGTGTGAACGAGTCTTATCAATTATAACAAAGAACTCTTTCTGAAATATTCTCTTGTTAGCGTTGACATTTCCGGAGAGAATAATTTCCCATTAATTTATAAATATTACGTGGTATTGTGCATGGGGCACGAGTTTTTGCAAGCGTTATTCAATGACGTTGTATATTGCGTCCCATATAAATCGAACAAGTGTTTCAGGCAAATCCAAATGTTAGTTTTATTTGAGTGAAATCGAAACAAGGTGATTTCATGTCAATTTTATCTTCATGATCATATACTGCGATGCGTCAGGGCTACACTGTACAAGGTATATTCATTTTTCTTTTAAACCGATCATTGCCATTGTCGTTGATATATAATTCTTCTTCTACACATGCTTTTCCCATCGCTATAGTATACCTTTTTCTCTGACGTTAAATACATGTGTCATGTAGAATTGTTGGACAAAAACTTTATCAGAATGAAACGCCAAAGGGCTTAATAGCCTTAATATTTAAATTCACTTACGTTGGATTTAAATATGCATACTCAGCTAAGACGAATACAAGTGGCATTGTAGATAGTGTTGCACAATATTAAGGCCTTGGCTTGTGACTAAACTACCTAAAAGATCAGTAAAAAGACTTTGGAGTCTTCGTTTGTGGGTTAGTAGCTTCACGGTGATGTAATTCAGCCACAAACCGTGGGCACAACAGGTTTGAGAATCTTATATAAAGAATCAATAATACAATATACAGATAGTCACTAGGTCATGATAGTAAGAATTCGTTTGATAACAGGTCTCTGCCAGGAGGTTATGTTCTATGGTATATGTTTTCATCTGTTTGCGTGCGTGCGTGCGTGCGTGCGTGCGTGCGTGCGTGCGTGCGTGCGTCTTTTAGCAATAACTCAAGAAATATCGAAAACTTGTAGGACTTTTGCATAGATACGAAAATTTGTAGGGCTACTGGCAACAGGTCAAGCACAAATCGATTGAATTTTTGCTCAACTTGGACAAAAACTAGATGAGAAATTGGCAAAAGCCGGGCAGACTGAAGTAAATGCATAAATTAACCAATTGTATAATTTATGCAGATACTTGATTTAATTTCGCTGGCGGAGTTATGCAGTCTCCATGTGCCCTTTAGTTGAACATGCACTTGTTTTTTTATATCCATTGTTGGGTTGACTTTTCAGTGACCGATTACATCAAGTATTACGTTTATTTAATGACTTATCCTACACGGCAAAAAACGCCGAGCCCGTTGCTCAACAGGTATGAACAATGTTTTGCTGCCCACGTTGTTCACACTTGTCAACAATATTGAACAATGTTGTTGAGCCTGAATCGGGTGTAACAATATTGTTCAATATTGTTGACAGCTATGAACAATGTGGGCAGTAAAACATTGTTCAATCCTGTTTTCATCAGTATTGCATCAACCTGAGCGCGTTTTTTTTGCCGTGTAGACTATTTATCTTTACAACAATTGATACTCGAGCAGCGTTCTCGTGTTTTATATCTGATAAAGCACTGCTTTAAATAGTACTAGCATAACTGTATGATTTCGTAAATGTGTCCACTGCAACAAAATAAAAGCCTCTATAAAACCCAATATCTCAAATCGCGAGGCTCTGTAGCCAAACCAAAGGCCGAGTACTTTCTAGACTTTCTAGAAGGGTGTAATGACACTCTTCACGTTAAAAATAACCTATATATCGCTTACGCAGTTATATGGGCCTGAAAGTCTTCCTACTGGTCACAATGGCATTGAAATCCCACAGCCTGCCATAGTTCTTCAAAAACCAATGTGACGCTAGCAAGAAGCTTGCCTCTAATAGGTTTTTTATATAAACATAGTTAATTGCATTTTCCCCAAGAGCTACAATAAACTCATCACGGGGGCTTGCATATATAACTGATCTCAAAAGCACACAGTCAGCAAACAATTACACATTCATTTTTAAAATTTACATTTTAGATTACTGATACAGCGAGGGCTTGAAACAGAATTGGTTTTGACAGGTCAGCCCACAGCCAGCACACGTTCAGCTGCGACTAAGCTGGCGGAATAGAACTAGCTAAAGCCTCTAAATGGAGGGACTCGAAGAGAATGGCAATGGTACAACTCACGAATTTACCCCATCAGCTGGTATCTATGTGCTTGCTGTAGTTGTAGTATTGACAGCAGTTGTATCTGTTCTGGGTAACCTACTGGTTCAAGTCGCTTTTTGGAGGACAAAATCCCTGAAAGGATCATCACCCGGTACTTTGGTAATGGTGTTGGCATTAGTGGACTTTTGTATGGCTACATTGGTGATGCCTTTTGTGATAACCACTGCACTGCACGGTGAATGGTCTCAGAGCCATGGGTTATGCGTGGCGTCGGGGTTTCTAAACACTTTCCTGACTGCTATTCAATTTGGAGTGCTGTTTAGTATCAGTCTTAATCGATTTACTGCCGTCTCATTCCCACATCGATATCAACTCAAGTGGAAAACTACCACCACATATGTGATGATATTATTAGTAGTGGCACATAGTCTGCTGTGGTCAATCATGCCATTCCTTGGCTGGGGAGGTTACGATTACATACAAGGAACCTTGTTTTGTAATATCAACTGGTCCGAGCACAAAGCACATTCGACGAGTCTGTTTGTGTTCTGTTATATAATTCCAGCTGTTATCGCGGCGCTGTTGTACATTACAGTCTACGTAAAGGTACGAAAGATGGGCCAAAGTCCCATAGCACAATTGAGAATGGGTAGTCAAGTGGATTTGAGGATCGGCCAAATTGAAAGAGACGACAATAGCTTTTATAGTGATGGTCACTCGAAAATAAGTACCAATGATCCGTCTTCGTCGCCTGGCAATAAAGGTATAGAGTATAAAGTCGTTTTAAATTTTAAAATTAAAATGCTGTTTTCTCTAAACTCTATAAAAGCTGAAATTACCGATGCTTGATGCATGACACAACACAGTCATTCTAAATATGCATGCAATATGTTAATTAAGCAAGTTCATAGAGAGACAATAATTGCAATTTGTAAAGCACTAACTTTTAAACTGAAGTTACATATTTTTGTTCTGGATAGTTGTATCAGTTATAAACTGTTATAAACTGTTATTATTGCAACTGTTTAGTATGAATTCCAAACTGTTCTTCGTGGAGGTCAAGTATAAGGTTATATTATAAGTGTATTATCAGTGTGTTACTACCCCCCGTTGCGATGTTTTGGCTACACCAACAATTGATTGAATTGAAAAGTTCTCCTTGTTTTATATAGGCTTCGAGAAAAATTTACAGTCTGTGCAGTATTTATAAGACTGGTTTAAAGCATCAAAGTTTCTGTGATCATAGTAGGAATTTTGCATAGGTAAACTCTACGTTTTGGAGGATTTGTAATAAATGTTCGAGGGTAAATACTCGGTCAGTTTCCTCAAACATTTCTTACAAATCCTTAAAAAGTTTACGAAGAATTTACCTATGCAGAACTTTTACTGTGATCACAGAAACTTTGTTGTGTAAACACCAGCCATTAGATTTTAGGACTTTAATCATTTATAGTGAGTGGATTATAAGATAAGCACGTTTATTCGCATCGCGTTATTCCATATTTAATAAGGAAATTCGCAAAAGCCACAATTATTTCTAACCTTGTATAAACATGGCCATAATTGCATGCAATAAGGAATGCACTTAAGATCCAATTAAATTCGAATATTAGTTTTGCCAACATTTCGAACATAGTGTAAGAGTTCTAATTAAATTCTGCATCGGTTAATGACAAATCAAACTGTGAAATACTATATCAGCATATCGAATTGTGAATTGTCAAATATAAAGAATGATAAAGCATTCGGGGTTTACCTCAATTATATATCACTTTGATTTTTGAGAATTAGGAATTCTTTTCAATATTTATATATGTGGGCGGAAGACAGACGATTCTAAATTTAAATTTGGTCAATTATTTAGGTCCAGTTTCTATTAAGGTACCTAATATACAATATTGTAGAAATGAAATGGTAATTGAATTAATAACTTATTGCAGGAAATGTAGAATATTAGTTTAAAAATGAATTCGAGTTAGTATTTCAATCCCTTTTCAGTTTGGTTTCGAGAGCAATTTGGAAAATGCGTTACTGAGTTTTTCAAGCACTATCAAAGTTGCGCGAGTCCAATTTGAGATCTTTGAAAACTCAGGAGTGCGTGTTTTGCATCTCTTTCTATGGCTATGCCTTCTCGAAATAATAGAATTTATAATATAGCATTTGTAAATTCTGAACGCTGATTGGCTAAGAGCCGTGTTCAACACGGGAAATTTTCCGCCGCTTGTAAACACGGAAATATCCTTCGGGCTTTTGACATTGCTATATTATAAAAAAAATATAAAACTTTTTCCGTATTGATATATAGTTATATCAACACTCGTGGAAGTTTGGAAAACTCGAAATTGTATGAAAACGTCGTGTTTCCATACAATTTCTCGTTTTCCCAATTCCACTCGTGTTGATATAACTGTATATCAACACGGAAAATGTTTTATATTTGTTAACGAAATCACCGCCAATTCCTAAAAATTTTTTTTTGTTACCAAGGCAAAGTTAGATCAAGGCATTATCCTTCTTTCAGAGGAACTCCTTTAGGGTCCAATTAATCGATTATACTGGATTTTGGCAAAAGACTGTCCCTAAACCTTGACCTTAAAACTCTAAGCGCGCAAAGCTTAATAGGAGCAAAAGTTTCAAGCTTAGGAGCTGAATATTACAGCTATTTGTGAATGAATTGTTCTCGTAAGGAGATATTTACCATGTCTCTAAATGGGTCCCATCTATGCTTTCTTAACTGATTAAATGATGCTCCCATTATGCTTTGCACGCTTAGAGTTTAAAGTTTAGACTTTAGAGTTTGAGGTTTGTCAGGAACAATCTTTTCTGAATTAGCTGTAGAGCATGCAGATGCTACCTGAATAATTAAAATTTTGACACAACATTTCGGTTTTTCGGTATCCACTTATAATGTAAACCTTCATAACATACTGATGTCCAGTATAATAACATTCCTAAATTTTGTCTATTTCAGGAAATATTTACAGCAGCAGAGGCTCGATGAACACAATCAATCGTAATTTTCGCCGTCATCGCTCACGTGAATCGCGCGTGACGACCAGTCTGTTATTGGTCGCAGCTGCTTTCGCCATCTTCTGGTTGCCAAGGGGACTGGTGAACTTTAGTGCTGTCGTGAGCGGTCGTGATTCTGTGCCCAAAGCAATAGAGTATCTTTCCTCGGTGTTTATATTTATGTCAAGCTTTGTGAATCCTATAATTTATGCGCTATTTCACTACGAGTATAACAAAGCTTTCAGGCAGATATTGGGATGTAAGAAAAAGTGCATAGTTGGTAAAACGTGAGATTCACTCAGCATCTAGCCTGCGCGGCAGACGGTCAGCCCGACGCAGAACACCTAAAAACAGGCAGGCTACTGAGCACCTGGAGCTCTGGATTCACTGATCTCATAAAGTTACTGTACCTCTTCATAGACTGGCGATAATTTATGCTCTATTTCAATATGCTTTAATGTCAGTACGAGCAACAAATATTTTACTTTCAAAACATTTCGCCCACACTATAGCGATTTTGTCGACGATTTTCTCTTCCTGACCGATGCGAATGAGTGAACTCACAGCGAAAAGTATGAAATCGCTTTTTGGAAGTATACATGTCCGAGTCATTTGCAGGTCACTCATTCAGTCACATCCGCCAGGAGGAGAAAAGTCGCCAACAAAATTGCTGGTGTGAAGCACCCCTAAGGCTGGTTACTCAACTCTTAAGGATGGTTACGCCAAATGACAACACGTTGATCACAGAAATCTTTACAGTAAAATAAATTGGGTTTGGTTTTCTGAACATATAACATTGGTGCAAAGACTTTGTTGTAAATAAATGTATATCACTCATCATCATTCCGTAAATGTATCATGGCTTGTAACATAGTATATTTATTGCAAATAGTGTTTTACCCACATCAATATAAATACATCAATATACAATTGTAAATAATAAAATAGAACTCTATACCATATCTTACAATGGCTTGTGCATTTTGAAAGAATGTGTGATCAATATTATTGTTAGTAAGTTCATTAAGTGGGATTTTCGTAAACAAGTTTAAAACCATTCAATACATTAACTCATTAAAAAACCGAACAAATTCAACGGCTATAAATTTTCCGTAAAAATATGAATTCCTTCGTAATAATTTACATTTAACCCCAAATATTGAAACGTACGATAAAAATTATAAAATAAAAAGCAAGCCGGTGTAGGAAATACCATCGCTCACCTCAAAAATTGATGAAAAGACTGAGCCTGAATATTAATTAAAAAGTAACAAAATGTGAACAGTTGAATGCTTTGATATACTACTTCATTCAGTCTCAGCGTCAGTCCCAATGTCCCCAAAAAAACTGGACACTGTTTCATTTCATGTAACGGAAAAGCTATAAAAGCTATCGCAATGAAATAACGATCATTGCATTCAGAAAGAACTAACTTATATTTTGATATATAACACTTGAATTTACATGCAATATTGAGCGAGATACAACCAAAATAAAAATATTATTTAATACGTATATAACTACATCGGTAATTATAAGGTTGTTTTATGCTAATTTTTGGAATTTTCAAAAACAGTAGTTCAACGTTCAAAAATCAATAGCACAGTCAATATTGCACGTAAATTCAAGTGCAAAATATCAAAATCTAAGTTGGTCCTTTGTGAATGCAATGATCTTTCTATTTCATTGCGAAAGCTTTTATAGCTTTTACGTTACATGAAATCAAACACTGTCCAGTTTTTTTTTTGGGACACCCGGTATTTCAACAGAAATATATCCCAACGCAGAATGCATCATTCAGATGCGCAGTGGAAACTCTGAATGACCTTATGCATAATGACGTCACAAGGCTTGATGCCCGCGAAGAATGCCGGTCTTAGTAGTCATCGCTATCGAAATTTTCCCGGCCGATGACTACTATAAAGACCAGCACTCCTCGCGGGCATCAAGCCTTGTGACGTCATTATGCATAAGGTCTATTGGCTTATACGAGTACGTCAATGTAAGCACCCTGCTCGATTGAACATTCAGCTTTCAATCTCGTCATCAATTTTAAAGTGGCAAATGTTAACTTACTACCATGGGTTCAGCGGTTCATAAAACACAGAAGCATCGTTGGTGCATTCCTCGTCCTCCTCTTTACAGTCGATTAGGTTCAATTTTTTATCCATACAAATCATGATTTCTTGCACCCTCTGTTTGCTCTAGGGGGGAAACACGCACGCATATTTACTTATTGGATTTCACAGAGGCGTAGCCACAGGGAGGGGATGGGGGCAGACCCCCACTTTTCTTTAGGACCAATTTTGTAATTCTTTCAAAACTGAGAAGAAACTGGGGGCGGGGGTTGTTGTAACCCTCTTACTGTTTTCATCTATGACATAAAATATACCAAATCTGTGGCTTTCAGATTATCATAAAACGTGTCTAAAATGCATGAAATAGCGTTTTGTGGACCATTAAAAATAGAAAATCCTCCAGGGGACCATCCCGCTGGACGATTAGACCCCACTCGTTTCGGGCTGGCTACGCCCCTATGATTGATTTCATTGTGAAAAATTGAGCGAAATTTGGAACAGCTTGTTTCGCAAATGTGGATCTGTTTCCGATTTGATTTTTTTCTTTAGTTTTTCAGCAAACAATTATTTTTTACAACAATCGCGGTTCATCGACAAAATTGTCAAGTTAACAACAGGTCAACTCACTACTCCCAAAAAACACTCTTAAAGGCAAAGTTTAGCATACTACGTAATAAATGCAATTCAATTCAGTTTGTGAATATTTTTACTACAGGGCTTGAAATAAGGTTCCCTTCCCGATCATGGTGATCGGCAGTCATGACTTTTCCGGCTTTTTCAGGTTGGAAACCCTGCTTTTCCGCCGATCATAAGCAATTTCTTGCCGATCATTGATCGGTGATCGACGGCTCTTTTTTCAAGTCCTGTACTACAAGGCCAAGGGCAAGGATGAGGTTTCTTGCAATTTTTCAAATATGATTGTGAAAACAATCGGAAACTTGTAAACTCGCAACTCACGGACTCCCAGACTTGCGGCTAACTTACATCCTTTTTACAGCAATGAAGGATGGGTTTGTGTCCTGTTTTTTTCTGCACAGCTTCGCGGAAATCATCAAGCTAAATAAAAAAAACAACAAGCATAGCATTGTTAAAGAAATTGTCATGCACAGACTGCCAAAATACTGAATGCATTCATCTAAAGCAATTTAAAATTCATACCTTGTACGTCGCCGTTTTAGATGGAACAATCTTGGCATCATTAAGCATGCTGAATGATATAAAATGAAAGTGATCAACAGTATATTAACAGACACCATATCGACAATGGCAAGGTATGGCTTACCTTAAAATGTCATACTTTCTATTCAGTTGCAGACCAGTATCGAAATATTTATGTTCACTGTTTAATGATGACATATCAGTACAACATGTTCCATGTTTCTTCCATTCATGTTCCCTGAAAAACAACCAAGAATACTTTGATATTTTTCTACACCAAAAGCACATACCTGGCCTACTTCATCTCTAGCCCAAATATCAGGGCCCACGGTTCCCAATAGAGGGGAACCCAAGGGCATCTCTCTGTAAAGATTCTCCAATTTAAACCCTCTGAAATGGCATTTTCAGACATTTTGGAGAATCATGGAGGTTTTGTCATTTTATCCAAATATTTACCAAAGACTATTGTGTAAAATTAATGTCAGAAAAAAACAATAAACCTTTCCCTTTACAATTATGTGGTATGGAGGGAATGTTTTGGTTACGAGAAATAACCAGCGGTTGTCTAGGCTATGAGAATCACAAGGGCCTGATCCTCAGGCTACTCCATAGTGTGGTTATTGGTTATTTTAACAAGTATGTCCTGGTCAAATATAACCAGATTCCCAGTTACATTAACCAGACAATGGAAGGAAGTGGGGGAAAATAACCAAGACATTTAACAAGTAATATGACATTAATGCACATGGTGTTATTGCTAAGGTCAACCAGGAACCATAAAGGTCATATGTACACTGCAATCCCTCACCAAAATGAGATTCTGGAATTATGAGAAGAAGTAAGAAGAGATGGCCAATAAATTTCCATTTTGTCTTCAATATTCTAGATGAAAGAAAGTGAATGGACGAAATTTGGTGGAGAATTTCAGATTAGGATACGTTCAAAGAACACTTGAAATATTTTATTGCAAAGTACCAGAATTTGTGATTCTTCGAAAGGCCATGATCTGTTGCAGTAGCTAGGATTTTCTGTTTTTCCAAGTGTAGGCCTACCAATTACAAACAAAATAGTCAACATGTGGTGACATTTAAAATTGGAGTATAATGCCATATTGTCATTTAACTCTTACCACAATCCGTGTATAGTCCAGGTTTTCACATCCTGTGGGATGCGACAATGACCATCCTGCAACAAGTGACAGAAGAATATCAATTTAACCAACCCACCCGTGGTGTCTTGGTCACCACGCTTGCATTTCAAGCTGGGAGACCTGGGTTCAATCCTTGGTTGGACCTCTACTCAAGGTCTTAAGATAATTGAGGAGAAAGAGCTACCTTTACATTGACATCAGTAAATGGTTAGACTTTCACATACATTAGAACTTGGGTAAGGGCATCAAAATCGTAGGCACCTTGGATCCCTATCAATTGGGCAATAGCCTGTTGGGACATCTGCTCACCAATGAGTGAGAAATTCAATAAACAATTTTAAAGAACTGTCAGATAAGACTGCCTGCTTAAATAAAAACCACTTTCAAATTAACTCATTAAAGTGCAAGACTCTCACTTTGATGAGTAAAATTGTCTGGTGTCGGGCAGAGTAAAATAATCAACTAATGTTTGACAGAGTAAAATAATAAAGTAGGGCGCATTTGGACATTGCAGCTTAGTGGGTTAACAATAAAATGCATTGGCAGATTTTTGGTTAACCCATTAAGAACCAGGGCTCTCCTCTTTCAAACTAAATAAAATTGTCTGGCGTTGGACATGAATACACAAGTTGATATATCTTCGAGTGGTGTTTAATTAATTAACACAAGAAGATAAAAGTCATATCTTCAAGCCACCATGTAATGTTATGTTTATTATATAGTCTCAAGCAAAAAATTGTGAAATTTGGCTCATGCTCAAAAGCAAATTGAAAAAAGTCACGTAGGCAGTTGCAATATAGAAAAAAGTCGATGTATAGATATCGAAAAAAAAATCAATAATATCGACTATATCAAATTATGCAAACGAGAAAATGTAATTTAGTTAACTTGCATGTATACACATCACAAACAGTTAATGGTACTAAGTTCTTTGTATGTTTGCATGGGGATAAAATATAATATTATAGTTTTGTTTGTGGATAGAAACACCACGTAAACTTATTACTGCAAAGCTTATTATTTATTAGCACTGATGAAGATCCGGGATTACAGATCGAAAGCTTTGCAGTAATAAATTTACGTGGTGTTTCCACAAACAAAACTATTATAGTTAATGGTACGTCTCACAGTCACATGGTATGTCTCAAAAATTTATTAACAACAGTTCATCCGTTCATGAAAGTTTAAAGATATATTTACAAGCGTAATGGTTTAATTTTCGCTTTTAATTTCAATTGCCCACACACTTGTATCATATATTCCATATATATCGATATTTCAGAAATATCGATATTTGATTTTTCGCATATCGAAAATACCAAAAGTTGTAACTATAAACAACTTAATTAATTAATCTCAGATTATTCGGCAATTATTGTTTTCACCGGTGAAGTTTAGACAATGTGTGTATGACGGCAATGGATCAGTCCCATATTAATCAAACTTTTGATCTCAACAAGTCTATAATTAGATAAAATTTTCATCACAGCATGAAAGAGGCACAAAATTAGCAATATTCCAAAGTTTCATTGCAAAATGTTGTAAAATATGGATGATATAGCCTTGCGAAGTTTGCAATTTTCAGTCATTTTGTATTATGCACAGGAATTTTTCCAAAGTGGTAACCATTTCACAACAAAACCTTTGAATATTACTAATTTTGTGATGCTCTTTCATGCTGTGATGGAATTTTGTCTAGACTTGAGATCAAAATTTTGATGGGATTGGTCCATTGCCACCATACACACGTTGTCAGCTACACTTCACCGGTGAAAACAATAATTGCTGAATAATCAGAGAACTTTCGATATTTTCAATATTTTCGATGCGAAAAATCAAATATCGATATTTCTGAAGATATGGAAAATATCTCACTGTGTATTTTTCAGCATCTCACTTTCTACTATATAATAAATCAAAGCCCACTCTACTGACTGGGCCTTAATTAGAATCGCAAGGCTCACTCTATTCACAAGCACAGAACAATTAGGCTTAACTGTACTTACATTTGATTCATCACAATCACAGACACTTTGTGGCCATTGTTGTGTGTAGATGAAATGATCATAGTTATAGTTTGTAGCATTCCAACAATCTACATGTGACCTGAAGAAATTGATAGCCATTTAGAATAAATGAGTGAGTGCAAGGGAGTGCATGTGCTCATCGTCTTTACTTGTAGCTGAGAGCAAGGCAGAATTGTGAAGGATGCAGCTCAACTTGATCAAGTTGAAGGCTTTAGTTCTAAGGGCGCCTCTAACAGATCTCACAACAAATGTCTGATCATGAAGCAGAGTCACCCCAACCGACCTTGTCAACATTCCCCCTGGTGAGGACACTGCTGTACCCAGAAAAAATTGAACTTGCCATTAATGGGTTTTTGAATGTAAAAACTAAACTCTTACCACTTTTGGTTATTATATGATGTTTAATATTTACCATTTAATAATGGTACTTTTTTATTTTTCAAAATCTTTATTAAAAAACATTAATTCAAAAACCCATTTATGGAAAAATTTTCCTGTGTCTTAAACTGACCAAAGTTAATGCACACAAGCAAATTATTATTTGCCCCTGTGTAACAAATAACAATGTTGGGCATGACAGAAAAAAAACTGCAGGAAAATTAGCCAAGAAAAGATCATGTGCATCATACGTGATGTGTCAAAGTATAGCGCTCTTATGAGACCATATGAATTTTTCTAATATAAATTTTACAAGTAAAATATAGACCAAGTTAAAATATTACTTTCATAGAAGAATATCTACACTTAGAATAAAAATATACTTACAAAACCAAACATAAACACAAGCTGAGGAAACTCCCATAAAACATATTTGTCCTGAAGAGCATGTGGTATACAAAATTTATGAATGAATGGCGCAGCCTAAAACAAATAAGATATGTATAAATTTCTCAGACTACAATGCTATAAATAATTACAAGACTTTTATAAAGTAATATAAAATTGCTTATAATACACCACAAAGAAACGATATTTGTACAAAACGTTCAGTTTAAAACCTAACCTTCGCAGTTCGAGCACTTTCTTGGATTTTGACTGTGGCGAATTTTACCGGCAAATTTATATAAACAAAAAAATGACACATTTACTTCCGTTACTGTGCTTCCGGTGTTGGGTAATGTTTACAAAAAATTCATAAAATGCATTTTATCTGTCAAACTTATGTAAAATATGTTAAAAAGACAAAGGATAAACCGCTGTTTCAGCTTGGTTGAAGCGCGCTTCCAGCACAGGGGTAATCTCTTTGAAGTTTGAATTCTTATTGTTCTTTATACGATCTTATCAATCTATGAACACATATAGTTGAGGTTTGTTGGTATTGAATTTCAAAAATATTGCAGGTTTTCCCAAGAAAAAATTAGACCATTTCCGTATTACGCTCTAATTGTCAAGAACAATAACACCGAGTCGAAGCTCATAGAAACATCGAGATTTTTTGGGCTTCAAGCGGAAGATCATATACAACTTTAGACCTAACCAGGAGGAGTTGCAAAAAATGCAACTAAAGGCCCTCTGGCATGAATGATCTAACCCGGTGCAGCGCTCTAAATTAACCAAATGAGCTGCAGAGTCCATGCAATGGACCTTTCACCTTTTGACTAAAATTTAGATTTCAACAAGTCTAGACAAAAATTTTACCACAGCTTGAAAGAGCATCACAAAATTAGTAATATTCCGAAGTTTCGTTGCGAAATGTTGTAAAATGCGGATAATATAGCCTTGCGAAGTTTGCCGTTTTTCAGTCATTTTAGATTACAAACGGGAAAAACATACCCTTTTTCCGAAGGAGGTATGTATTTCCCGCGCGTAATCTAAAATGACTGAAAATGGCAAACTTCGCAAGGCTATATTATCCGCATTTTACAACATTTTGCAATGAAACTTTGGAATATTACTAATTTTGTGATGCTCTTTCAAGCTGTGATAAAATTTTTGTCTAGACTTGTTGAAATCTAAATTTTAGTCAAAAGGTGAAAGGTCCATTGTCGAGCTCTAATCACAAGTTCTTGTCGGACTCTGTAGCTCAGTTGGGTTTACTACAAAAACCCTTCCACTCAATAGAAACATTACAATTTGGCACGAAGCGTCCTGCTGTTGTCTAAAAATAATAAAATTATTTGAAAATATATTTATAAACAGAGGTAAAAGGTTGCTTGCTCATTATACTCAACCGGAAGTCTGTCACTTGCGCGCATGGCTTTACAAGGAAGATTGGTAACGAGTGTTTGGCATTATAAAAACATTTTCGAAATTTTGAATTTTACATTTTACAAATTAATTAACCGATGAAGTGCAATATATTTTTCCATTTCTTGAATATTCCATGTGATTTAACTTGAGCAGTATCAGATTTAATATTTCATGCACAGAATAACTTTGATCTGAGGAAAAAATCGGTTAAAATCATCTTGGAAATTTGGTCAGTTTGGTATTATTCTCTGGTATATATTAAAACATTGGTGTCATGGCTACATCAAATAAATGGCAATTTTCTGAAGAGGAAATCCGTGCAAAGCTAGAAGAGCTTGGTTATAACAATATACCAGATAAAGCATTAAAGGAGTTTTCAAATGGTATGAAACAGCGGACTAAAAACTAGTGGAATCTTTGCCTGCCAGAATTATTTTTCAAACCATTTTTGAATGTAAACAGTATATACAGTATGTTGTCCAATTTTCGGACAGTACCACTATTCGGACGAAACATTTTTATCGCCAAATTGTTTTATGAAGAATAGCAAACACATAAAAATCAATACGTTCAGATGATTGCCCGATATGTCCTGAATCTTGCTCTATATTTTCGACGTTTTTGTTGTTGTTTTGTGCAAACGTGAACACTTCGAGTAAAGGTCAGTCGAAAATATTTTCTTAAAAATGGCGTAGTTCACGACAGCGCGATCAGGCAAGTACACTTCAGTAGATTGTTTTGTGAAAATATACTGCCGAATCATTAATTTTTTCGCTGAAGGGATGGTTATATAAACCGAAAATTTTACCACAATAATAATTGTTGCTACTGTCATAAAATTTAAGAAGTTTCGGACTTTTAAGTGAAGAAACAATTTTTGAGCATCTTATCAATACTCGGACGATGGCTTAGAGTTGACAATCTTATGACTAAAATCACGAGTATATTTAACAGAATTATATATTTAAAATGTTTAAAGAGTGTACAAGTTGTTTATGTCTTGATAAACTTTCGTTTTCGATAATTTTGTTGACTTTAGTTCAATGCGAGTTTCGATATTATTATGTGAATCTATCCACCGGGAATTGTATATATCTTAAAGTGAGCTTTACTTGACTGAAATTTCATACTAGAATATGGTTCAAAGAATTATGACATTTATTTCTATAACATAATCAAGCCTTAAATTCCAGTATATATCAAAATACAGCTTACCTTCGACAGAAAACCGACTATTATTATAAGTGTCCGAATAGCGGACCAGCTGTCCGAAATGTGGTGATGAAAATGAAGTACTTGTTTTCGATATTACAGAAAAGTAAAGAACTTTAGCGACGTATCTCTTAGAATAATATAGCCATGGGAAGTGGTCGTCATCTGTACAAATTTGAACCTGCTAAACATCTTAAATCGCAAAATATAGTGTGAAAACACTTTACTGTCCGAAAATTGGACAACATACTGTATTTATTTATATACGGTACTATTAAACATTAGTATATGAATGCTGATATCATAAATATTTATATTTCTAGACCTTCATAAACTTATATCATCTGAAAATGTGAAAGAAACCATTCATCATAGACATAGTATATCATCAACATCTAGCACATTTTACAGTCCAGCCACAACCAGCAGTGATCAGTCGATACATGGAGCAAATGGTAAGCCAGCTCACTTCCCGTATAAATGCAAAATGAACTTGCTTAAACTGGGCCTGCCTTCTCCGCAGGCCCTTGTTGCATCATGGGAAGGTTACGATCTGGTGAGGCCTCTCGATAGCGTGACCTTCCCATGATGCAACGAGGGCCGGCCTGCGGAGGCAGAAACCGGGCCAGCTAGGATACCTAGAGCTCCTGAGGCAGCGAGGGAGTTGGGAATTGGATTTTTGCCAGATTGGGTTTCCCTCTCATATTGCAATTTTATTATTTATGCCAGTGGATGATGATCAAAAAAGAGTTACATACAAGACAGTGGCATCATATAGCGATGACGAATCTAGCTTTGAACAGGTAAGAATTATTCAATTAACCCTTTGAATGCCAGTGCTCCCCCTTGACAAATCTGGTGATAGACAGAGTAAAGTAATAATTAAGTATTGGCACATTAGGGTGCAATGCAATTTAATGGGACCGGTTAACTTTGAATATCACAAGAAAAGTCCAATAACTGATATTTGAACAACAGAAACAATTAACCAAACTGATTTACATTTCAGTCTCCAGTGACGCAGCATCGCAGACCGCACACATATGCATCAGCAGATAAAGAAAACCAAGCTGAAAGTAGAAATCCCACGTCATTGAGAGCAACACAGAAAAGAAAGGTTCTTAGGTGAGGATAACAGGCCTGAATATGATAGCTGACCTCAGACAATGTTGTCTTTATTTATGATGAAAACAATTTGACGAATCTATCTACATATCATCGGATATATACTGCTTCTTTTAGCCACTAAATAAGTTACAAATTTATGTTATTATTTTTCTTAGAAAAAAGAATGGTGAAGCACATGTGTTTGATGAATCTTTTAATCAAGAAAATGGTATCTACAGTATTTAACCACATAACTCCCTGGGCTTCACAAGTAAAATGTCAAAAGAATTTAAATGCGTTTTGGCAGATTATCGGTTGATATGTTTGCCTGCGTATAACAAAGTAGGACACATTGTCACCGAAATTAGATGATTGTGTAGTCTATCTAATGAATGTTAATATTACCACAATATCTAGCTTTTTTGTGGCAATGCGCCCTATTAGTCTAACACCAGAAAATATTACTTGTCAAGGGGAAAGTGCTCACACTCAATGGATTAAATGTCATTTCTCCCATTGAATATCTTACAAACAGTTTTTACATAAATACTGCTTTACATTCCAGCTACAGATATATCAGATGTAGAAAAAAGATTACAAAAGTTGCCTCTAAAAGATGATGCAACTGATTTGGAAAGTATTGATGATGACATGTCAGAAAGGTCTTCAGTTTTACAACCATGGGGAAGGAATAGAAATGCTTTACCTTCATGTATGTTTAATGTTGTTGTTGTTGCTGTTAATTAATATTCTATAAGTACATGCATACACACATTGGACAAACCTCACTATTTGCTAAAAATGTTAAATATATCAGTCATTGCTAATCGGTACACATTTTGTTTTAGTTATCAGACCAAGGACAGTAGATCCACGTTCAAAAGGCATTCGAAAAACAGACCCAGTTAGCAGGTAAAACTAAAATCCATCGTATTAATAATCCCAACTCAATATTTTGCAAGGAGTTTTGGTCAGTGATTGCATGCATGTGGGTTGAAGATATTCATGTTAAACGAATAAGTTGTGCTTTGATTCACATCCTCATCGCTTACAGTACACAATCATATAATATCATGAGTGAATAAATGAGATTATGCTATGTTTTCAGATATCATCAATTCAAACAAGAATGGTCATCAAATAAAGTGCCTGGTGAAAAAATGCACAAAAGCCTGAGATGGTCCACTAGGGTAAGAAACTTGTGAATTTGAAATCCTAATGTACTTTGAATGAAACCATGATTACCTTTATTTTCAACTTATTTTTCCAGGAACAAATGTTGCAATATGAATCATTTGAGGTACAGTAATAATTAATAACAGCACGGTGTATATTTTAATGTCCCACTTATGTTATGTAGACAAATTAACAAAAGAACTGCCTTTCTTTGCTCAAATTTGTCGACAGCTCATTGCTCTTGAGTATAAATGTGTAGTGTATAGTTATATATTTCTATCTGTCACTTTGCAGAAACCTCGACATACGTATGTCCCAAACAATTATGTTGCACCAACACAGAAAAAAAGACAAGCACTGCGGTGGGAAGTTAGAAGTACACTTGCAAATTGTTAAGTATAGATAAAAATTTAGAAATTCCTGAAATGAAATTATTCATGCATTGTTTCACTTAGTTAAATGACTAATAAATTGTATTTTATTTTTGGCATTGTTTTTTCAAGTATTTCAATAGTAAAATTATTACATTCCCTCCACATAATATATGAATAAAACATGACCGCATTATAATTAGCTGATCTTTATTTATTACACAAGAAATATTATTAATAAATATATATTATAATTAATTAAATATATAGTACAGGCCAGTGAAATATATTCTAAAATCTTTGTATACTTTAGTATTTGCATTCATTCACATTGCACAAGAAATGTGTTGTTTTATTCTCACTGTCAAACAGTAAAGTGGTTTACCACACCCTATACAAATTATTAAATAAAACATACCTCAATGGTGAAATTTTAAATTTTGTCATACCATACCACATTCTCTGAATATAAGAACTGTAGCTTTATACCCTCATCATCCTCAATAAGTGTCAAAGTCTTCATATTCATTGACATCACCTGAAATTAGCATAAAATGCATATTACATTATTTCAAATCTGACTATGAGGACTGGACTAGATTTGAAGTCCGCGCAATTTGATCAAGTCCGAGACGAAGCCGAGACTGGATCAAAATGCGAGGACTTGAAATCTAGTCTAGTCCGAATTGGAGGATTTGAAATGACATCTCATGCGAATTAATCACTACTCAGTCCAAGGATTGAATTAATTTTGATCCAGTCCTAGGACAGGATCAATGTACTTCATCAGGTATCCAGTATTATCATGTGAGCAAACTAAAGCAATATGGTTGGCTAATTTGCTCATGAATTATTAATGAGTTTGAGATAGATACATAGTACTGCACAAGACATGTGTACCACAAGCACAAATATTATTTTGATTCAAACAAACTAACAGACTAACAAACTCATGCAGTGAATATAAAGCAATGCCTTACTTCGTTTGGGAACCGCAATTACTCTAATTCATTAAAATTTATTAAAAATATTTGAGGATTGAATAAAATTTGCATCAATCTTGAGTGTTGTCACAAAGTATCTGCCACTGGATATTAGTAAGCAATGTAGAAAATCAAATAAAATCAGTGAATTTTAGCAATTAAATAAACTCGCTCAACAGGTGAAACTGAGCCTTTAAGCTCCGTAATGTCACACAAAACTCGCCTGATCCATATTCTTGTCCCATCAACTGAGCAGCGCTCAAATGAACATCTTCATCATCGTCATCATCTACATCATGTTCCTGATCTGCATATTCTACTGGACCACTCTCTACCACCATACTCTCTGCATTTGATGTGTCTGTCGGGTTTGACTCAGGTATATTGTCCGAAAACTAAAGAAACACGCATATGTGACCAATACAGTGGTGCCGTGAAACCCATGTTTTTGGAGGGAGCCAAGGGCAGTACTTTTCCGACAAACCGAAATTTTTTTCTCGAGCCGAAGGATGACCAAACTCGAGCTGAAGGATGACTAAATAGCTTGTGAAACGTCTTTATGAGAACATTCGTCTTGTACTCTTGTTCAACAACTTAAAATAATAAGTTCTTTGTATGTTTGCATGGCGAAAAATATAATAGTTTTGTTTGTGGAAACACCACGTAAATTTATTACTGCAAAGATTTCGATCCGTAAGCCCTGATTATTAGCACTGATGAAGATCCAGGCTTACGGATCGAAATGTTTGCAGCAATAAATTTACGTGGTGTTTCCACAAACAAAACTATTCTTAATTCAAAATAAATAAATAAACTTAAAGTTTATGTAAATCAGCATGATTTTGTATCAGATATACAAACTTCTTCACGGTCATGATTTCTTTCGTGTTTTCTTCGAGAATTATTAATGAGTTTCACCATGTAAGGTATAGATCATTTGATCTTCCCAAGCTGCGGTAGAGATTGTTCGCAAGTATCTCCAGACAGCATATTACACTGTATATTAAGTTACTATAAATTACCTTTACTCTCTTGGTTGGTAGCCTTGGAACAAAACTTTTATCTCTGCAATAGAATTAAAACAAAAAACTGACCCCTAACTTTCTCCAATTCTATTGTCACATTCAACGCATTAAGCTGCAATGCGCCCAAACTTTATTTTACTCTGTCCAATGCCAGACAATTTTACTCGTCAAGGGTAAGAGTGCCGCCGCTCAATGGGTTAACCAGAAAACACCTAAGGGCGCTTTCCATTAGGGACCTTAAGCAGACAGGACGGTAACGCGACGACGACGGCTATTCACACAATGATATTCCTGATCTCGTACAAAAGAAATGAATAATTAAAAGCCCCACGGGAGTTAGAGACGTGGTGTTAGGGCTTTTTACAACGGCAAACCAGAGATTTTCACGTCTTGTGTACAACGCAAACATGTCAAGACGCGACAAGTGAAACTACAAATTTGCTCAGCAGACGCGTTTTTAACCATAAAGCCTTTGTTATAATCTCTTCAAACTGAACTCAATTCATATATACATGCAGTGGATAATACACAACAACTCTTCTTCGCAATAATTTATTTGTTTTGGCTGTCGTCGTCGCGTTGCCGTCGTACATGCTTAAGGTCCCTATTAACTCGGCCAGAACGGTCAAATTGTTCAGTGAATGGAACACAAAACGTTTGGGCTATCTGACCGGAAAATTTAGATAAAATTAGAATGAGGTTCATTTTCGCTAGATATTTGAGAAACAGACCAGATCTTTCCATTGATACAGAGACAAAAATTCGCGTCTGAAAAAAAGCACCCTAACAGACCTGTGTAATACTACAGGAGGAGAATGGAGCGGAGAAAACCTCTGTGGAGTAAAACTGAAAGCAGTCTCTCATATGTAAATGAAGCAAAGTTAGAATTAGTCTACGCGTTCACATGGGGCTGGATGAATTCGGAACCGACCTAAATTCGTCTAGTTCTTTGAATCTTGGCAATGAATTTCCTAATACGTTACTCTGATTCTCCATTTAACATGCGAGGCTCTAGTCGTGGACTAGGGTACATTTTGATTTACGTTGGTCAGACACAAATTCACTGGGGACGGACAAACAATAAACCTCAGTTTCACTTTGGTCGGACAGAATGTCCAGTGGTTTCCTCTCTTCGTCCGTGACCGACCGATATTTTAAGGCATATTTCTAGACCTAATTTTATTTGATTTCGAATCCGTACGGTCAGCAGTGCTGCATTTCGGTCGGTTTCGTGCGTCTCGGAAGGCGAAAACGAACGAATTCGAGCATCGTTCCGCATTTATCCGGCCCCGTGTGAACGGGATCTTTATCGTTCAGCAATTGACCATTTGCGTAATAGACTAAATTTTGAACTAAACAAGTCTAGACAAAAATTTCATCACAGCTTGAAGGAGCATCACAAAATTAGTAATATTCCAAAGTTTCGTTGCAAAATGTTGTAAAATGCGGAAAATATAGCCTTGCGAAATTTGCAATTTTCAGTCATTTTAGATTACAAACGGGAAATTGACAGCCCCAAACCCTTCGAGGCTGTCAATTTCCGGTTTGTAATCTAAAATGAAAATTGCAAATTTTGCAAGGCTATATTTTCCGCATTTTACAACATTTCGCAACGAAACTTTGGAATATTACTAATTTTGTGATGCTCTTTCAAGCTGTAATGAAAGCTTTGTTGAGATAAAAATTTAGTCTATTACGCAAATGGTCAATTCAACTCGCGTCGCATATGTCGTATGTCTACAAGATACCTTTTTCTTCCGGTATATCTGACAGGTATGGAAGGTTGTACCACTTGTATCAAATTCGTAACAGGTTCAATAACTGGCGTCTCTGGCTCGCATTCCGATGGTTTTTCAAGTTCGTTTTCTTTATTTAAATTCCTCAAAACATCATAATTGATTTTGTGGGAAATCTTTTTCTCAATCAACATCTTTTCGACAGCCTCGCCCACGGAGTTCGCTTTCTCTTTCGGTTTTCGTTTGTACGGCTTTCGACGTTTCTATGATAATAAAGAGTAATGTGATGTTTGTGATGTTACTCTGAGTGTATATCCACAACGGGCGAGCTTGAAAAATATGCCCGCGGCCACGGTGGGAATCGAACCTACGACCTTTGCCCTTTGGAATACTAGCCCAAACATATCTATCACAAACATCATATTATTCCCCTGAGTACACAACACCAACACAGAAAAAAATAAAGAGTAATGGTTCTTCAAACCAATACATGGAAAAGCGCCTGGTAGTAGCACTCTGGCTAGATAGATTTACGTTTTCATCATATCACTGTAGATGTATATATGTTGTTGTATGGCGACTTCTTATCACTGTAGTTGTGACTTGCTCACTCACTCATGGTAGTAACTGCAGGCCTCGAAATAAGTGCCGGTCACCGGACATTGTCCGGTAAGTTTTTCATTTTCTGTCTCTTACCGGACATGCATGACGGGCAAATTTTTTATTGTTAAAATTGAAACAACTTTGTTAAAAAAAGCTTATAATACAAAAGATTCGCACGACAAATTTCGCTTAACCGGCTTAAAAATGCGTTCACAAGCGAATTTTGCTGTTTGTATTTTGTACAATAATTACCGTAATAATAATACACACTTTTTTCTTTGTTTCGTCTGTTTGTAAATCTTTTCTCGTAATCCTTGCCAATAAAACAGGCATTTTATTCAGAATTCAGGATAATTATTCAGATTATCTGTAATGATTTATCATAACTGCCCAAGTTCACTTAAAATAGGTTCAAATATATAGGAAAATCAAAAGATGACTGGCAAAACATCCACTTTGACCGGCAAATTTAATAATGCACCGGTCATGATGACCGGTATACCTTCTAGATTTATTTCGAGGCCTGGTAGTAAGTGATAACACACTTGATAAGTGATAAGGACATTTGGATTACACTCAGCTGAGTTTCCCGGTCAGCTGGGCTCACATGAATAGGCTCTAGGTATTCTTTATATTCAATTGAATCAAATGAAATGAGAATTGTATGTATGAAGCGTAAAAATTTCAACCTTTTTAGTTGGGTCCGCTTCTTCCTTTTCTCTTTCTTCCGCTTCTCGCTCTTCCTTTTCTAAATTGAAAAATAAGCAGAGGTGACTTTAGACAGCATTGGCCGTGACTGACTAGCCTCCTTCGCAGGCATCTCTATGGGTTTTAGCCTGCGATTGGGTCTTCGAAGATTTAAAATTCTGAATTTTTTTCCGACCATCCGATTCCCCGGGTGAAATGCTGCAGAGGAGGCTAGTACTGACACATAATTCGTTCCTCATAAGAAAATTTCTAACCTTTTTGTTTTTCTAGATAATCTTTGTTTTCTTCCATCCAAATTTTCGTTTTCACTTCAACTTCAGGTTCAGTTAAAATAAACTAAAGAAACTAAGTTTATGTAAGGCCTTTCTGCAATGTTCATTTGACTTTTAAGATACTGTACAAAATATCAAAATATAATATGAAATGCAAGCAAAACTAACATTATCAAGTTCATCTTCATCTAAATCATCCAATCTTTCCTCCTTTTTGTCTTCGTCTCCAGCATCTGGAAAGAAGACAGAACTAATTGCATGCCTGTCAGATGTTGGGATCCTAGGTAGCCGCGCTACCTGCAAGTGCCTGAAGCTAACTGCAACCCTAGGTCAGAAGGTCTTATACATGCTTAAGTGAAGTAGAAAATTTCAATTTTTCCGAATACATTTTGCAATATTTACCGACAAGATTTAATAAGAGTCGTACTCAAGACGTAAGTTCATCAAATGATGCCAGCAAAAACTTAAAAGTTCCTGTTCTGTGGCCGAATTTTATTCATCAGCGGACAATCTTGTCGGCTTGATATGTGAAAATTTTCGAGCAATTGGGTTTGAGCAAATTAGCGGACACTCAATTTTGACGATATGAAACATAACTAAAAAAAATGTCTTCGGTGCCTGGTTCCCTGTTGTAATTTGCCAGCTTCAATCAAGCGAAGCGGGCAAATTTGGGCGAACCGTAAATTCTTTTTGGCTACCTGCAAAAAACTAAATACATATACAGGCATGAATAATTGAGCAAAACTTGGAATCTTGATTGATGACAGCGAGGCTCCCATGCCAAGAACGTATCCATGACGCACTTATCGAAAGAGTGTATTACGCTATCCTGCTGCCATTGCTGCCGTTGCTTTCATAGTACAATGTACAGATTTTCACAAACTTTTACAAGTCGGGGAAAATTTAGCTTTGTATAAGTTCCATACCCTTTTCAATATTCTCATCCTCGTCATTCTCAATAACCTGGTCATCCACTTCACCATCTACTTCTTTTCCTTTTAAAATTTCTTCATTTTCCTTGTCACCATTTAAGTTATCCCCATTTAAGTTATCCCCATTTACTCCATCGGGATCACAAGTATCCTTCTCAGTAGACCCGCCCAATATAGAAGAACTAATATCACTAATCGGGTCTAACGTCTCGTCATTTTCATTGGTCAGACTGAAAGAACACTCACTAAGAGCATCTGTGTCGATGTCCTCGGAGTTGAGTGAATTCCTAAAGTTGCTTTGTGATTTAGTTTTATCCAATCTTGCCTCAATTTCACGTCGTAGGTCTTCTAACTCGTTAGCCAAAGCTGGTTTGTCCATTCCTTAGATGAATAATAAATACAGTAGTTTAAGATTGAACGCCGCTGTTCTTAATAATGGCATTCGGAGTCTCGACTGGGCATCTCATCGTTGGGATAAATTTCTGTTGAACTACTGGGTGTCCCAAAAACTGGACACTGATTTCATGTAACGTAAAAGCTATCGCAATGAAATAAAGATCATTGGATTCAGAAAGGACTAACTTAGATTTTGATATACAACACTTGAATTTACATGCAATATTGAGCGAGATACAACTGTTTGAATTTGGAATACGTTTTAGGAACTATATAATGACGGTTCTATTGTGGCTACATATGTGAAAAACACAGGGCTGCAAATATATAATTGACATTTGTTCGATCACTTTTAATTCTGGTCGGACATAACCTGAATTTGGTCGGACAAAAACCAACATCACTAAATTTGGTCGGACATATATACGTGACAAAATATATATAAGTCACGAGACAAGTATGTATGCCATTCTGGCGCAACGTAAAATTAAATGCTAGAACGCCTCGTAAATTTTATTGCAAAATGCAAATTGAGTGAATTTGCAATCGAATTTTGTCACAGCAAAAAAATGTATAATGTAACAATTTATTTTGTGATCGCATCAATGTCCGATCAAAATCACTTTTGCTCGGACATTTGCCAAATTTAGTCAGACATTGTCCGATGTCCGACAGTAATTTGCAGCCCTGAAAACACAAATAACGATTGAACAGTTCAATACTTTGACATGTGCATATTTAATTTATCCAGTCGTAGCTATACATGTTATATGATTCAATTGCAATCCATCCCGCTGCAGAATGCATCACTGGGCTCCGCAGTTGAGACTCTGAATAATCATGCAGCATTTTTGCAGCTTAGATAAGACGGTAGTTATAGTACCATGCCTCGTATCCAGGCGCCATGTTGCGGTCAGCACTTGTTTTGTTTCCTGACCTGACGTCATTTTCGCAAGATAGAAAAGGAGTTAAATAGTTATGTAACTAACCCAAACCCTACTCTAACCCCTACCACTAACAGCAACCCGAACTCTAACCCTAACCAAATTAATAAAAAAATCCAAAAAGAAACAACTTTAGAAATTGATCAAATGTCGTAACGTCAGTTTAGTAGATGGAAAGAAGTGAAAACCTATGTTGCTGCTATGGCTCGCGTGACCTTTGCGTGGGCCGCGTGGATGCATTTGACGCGCGCTACCCACGCAACGGCGTAGGAAACCAAAGCGGTTGGGTAAGAGGCACATGGTTACCTTCAATCTCGTCTATCTGTTGTTGTTTCTGTTTCTGTCGTGCTTCGGTGAAACATGGCGGGTCTTGTTCCTCTTCCAAATCTATCGTATTAAACTCATCTACGGTAAGCTGTCCCGACGGCGTCTTCTTAAAATCATTCAGTCTTTTTCTTATCGTTGTGTTACTTAAGCGAACGACTTTTATAACCTATATAGAAATCATTTTAGACTGAGTACACCATTATTTAATAACACTGACTAGAAGTAAGTCAATAGTAGTGGACTCTAAGGGAACTGGAACGATAACTTGGCCGCCATCTTTGAAGCCAGTCATGATGGCCGCTATGTACTGTAGGTATAGAGTGGAAAATACGCCGCCTAAAAGACATCTTAAAACTTTCAGCACGTTCAAACTTGTGTAATATTTTGAATAGGAAACTGTTACACCGGAAGTTTTTGCAGATAGTGGATGTAAAATACTAACTATCCAGAAAACCAGGTTTGGATCTTTAAAGTTGAAGCCTTTTGATAATTTTCGCTCAAAAACAAACTTTTGACTGAACTTCCCGCTCCTCGAAACTCTCCCTAGTCCTTTTGAAAGTTAACTCATCAGATGGGTCGTTTTTAAGCCATTTAAAACACTCGCAGTGCGTGCTTTATCAGATATAAAACACTTGGCTCGTGTTTATGACTTTATGTCTGATAAAGAATTCCTGCTCGTGTTTTAAATAGTACTTACAGTACATGAAACAGCTAAAACAATACTAATTTTCGATACCTACTAATAATTAGCCGTGTCAACAGGGTTCGTAGTCTCCAAGACCAAAACAATTCAAAGACTTTCAAAGATTTTTTCTGCCTATTTTCAAAGACTTTTCAAAGACCTTTGAGAGCAATCAGCTGTCGAAAAATTGTGAGTGTATATAAGCACCATTTTTACACAGTAATTAGTCCAGTCAAATCACATCCTAAAATGCGCCTTTTCGTCGATATTTGCGAAAATTTTGCTTCAATCAATCTATTTTATTAGCTAGGAAATCGTATAATCAAATACTCACTAAAGAATTTAAAGACTTTTAAAGACTTTTAAAGACTTTCTTCGCTTTTTCACACAATTCAAAGACTTTTCAAAGAACTTAAAGACCTGCATTCAAATTTAAAGACTTTCAAGGATTTCAAAGATCACTACGAACCCTGCGTGAATAAAAATCTGCAACGCAGCTATTTCATTTTTGTGACACCCAGAATAATGGTAAATTGTAGTGCGTATGAAGCTTTGGAAGATGGACCTTTGACATAATCGGTGTAAAAATGCTATCTTTTTTCAAACAATACTAATAATAACCTCTTTAATAGTTCGACTAAATCCATGCAGTCTTGCGGCAACAAGTATGGCAGCTCCGCACAATCCAGATGGACGGCGGCCATATTGGATCCAGTCACGTTTCATACGACTGACCAATCGCAAGGCAGTATTTGCGACGTCATTTTCCTTCTCAGCCAATTGAAACTGGTGACAGAAACGGTGGATATACAGACAAGGATCTGAGAAAGATTGAGATGGTTAAAGTCATGACAAAACTAAACAGGTTTTAAAAAAAACTAAAAACTAAACATAAAGCTTTCAAAGGAAGAGGTGGTGGTGAGAAACTAGCCGGCTGAAAGATGGTACAAATATGGGATAAGTTTTGACACAAGTATTAACATCTTTTTGTTCAGTTTCTTGCTTCATCAACTGCTAATTAACTAAGATTATTTACTGCAGTATAAGGATAGATACAATTCTTATTGAAAAGAGATGTGTCATTAAAAGACGCTGAAACGACAAGATTTTGATGATTGCAGGCATACGATGTGGGTTAGGAAAAAGCCAAGAAATTTCTAACAAAAATCACGCCGTCATCTTGCCGTATTTGTGCGATTGTAGCCTGTTTTTGGTTTTTGATTAAAATTAAACGTTATAAATGCAATGAAAAAAATACGGATTAAGAAGTGCATTATTGTATAAAGTAATGTTTTAAAGAAATTAGACTTATTTTGAAATCCCCTTGCTAAGAACTGAAGTATTTTCTAGACTTGTCTTGCTCAAATTGCCTTCATTTTGATACGGTCTATCCAGTCTATTATGAGATCATGACTGATCTCCTAATTTGTGTGTACACCCAGCCCCAAACAACGATGCAAAAAAAAATTAATTGGCTAACCTACTACAGGTAAATTAATGCATAATTCGTGTTGCAGTTTCAAGTAGACTTTTCCTAAAGTGATAACATCAACCTAGAAAATATATTTAGGTATTCAATGAATTAGTCATCCGCCCCTGGTTTATTCAGGTATAGCATGCAACCGTGTACCCAGGGCTAATCAAAGACAGATCACCTGACCAGCTCCAACCAGGGATTTTCCTAACCAAGTTGGAACACCCTGAGGTTGGTGCAACATGGTGTTTTAAGATGAATCTGATAATTTTGTTTTAGTTAGATTTAATATAAATCACAAATTACCTGCAATATATCACTGAAATCTATCAGGAGATCTTACCTTGGGTTAAGGATTTCTTAATTGTAAAATATCTATGGATGCAAAATGTACTATATGTGGGTGTACACTACAGTCTAATCTCATTCCAGTTATGTTTCTTGTCATTCAAATGTGTTTTAAAATTTGTTCCAAATGCATTGAAAGAGTAATTCACTCAAAATTTGGGTCACCACCCACAGGAAATTTTAAACAATTGAAGGAAATTGGCTGGGTTAATTTTAAATATTTCAACTTATGATTGACAGGTCTACAACTTTCCTTGAATTTAACCTATTGAGTGTCAGCACTAATGACATTCACTGAAGGGCTTGAATCCGGGTTTTTCCATTAATTTAGTTTATTGTACGATCATCCAGATTAAATTTTTTTAATTATTTCTGACGTTTCGGCTACCTACACGGCGGCCATTATCAAAGACATATTACAGTTACAAAAAATTTTACAGTTATAACATTTTATAATTTTAAAGGTATACTAATGACATTATTGTTAATCCTTTAAACTCATGCAGTTTGGTCACTCATATCAAGTGCAACCAGGGGCGTTGCTAAAGCGGGGGGGGGGGGGGG